CACCTGGGGACACCTGGGGGTGTCTGGGGGGTCCCGGTGTGAGCCCCGGGTGTCCCCTGGGTGTCCCCAGCGTGTCCCCCCCTGGGGCTGGAGTCCCTGCGGGTGCTGGACTCGCAGCTCCGGGCGTCCAGCCACAAACGGCTCGGGCTGGGAGCTCACCGCGCCCGCCTCAACATCCAGGTACTGCGGGGGTTAATTGGGCTGGGTTAATTGGGTTGGGTTAATTGGGCTGGGTTAATTGGGTTGGGTTAATTGTGCTGGGTTAATTGGGTTGGGTTAATTGTGCTGGGTTAATTGTGCTGGGTTAATTGTGCTGGGTTAATTGTGTCTGGGTTAATTGTGCTGGGTTAATTGTGCTGGGTTAATTGTGTTTGGTTAATTGTGCTGGGTTAATTGTGTTGGGTTAATTGGGTTGGGTTAATTGGGCTGGGTTAATTGGGTTGGGTTAATTGGGTTGGGTTAACTGTGTTTGGGTTAATTGTGCTGGGTTAATTGTGTTTGGTTAATTGGGTTTGGGTTAATTGTGTTGGGTTAATTGTGCTGGGTTAATTGGGTTGGGTTAATTGTGCTGGGTTAATTGTGTTTGGTTAATTGTGCTGCGTTAATTGGGTTGGGTTAATTGGGTTGGGTTAATTGGGTTGGGGCTAATTGTGCTGGGTTAATTCTGTTGGGGTTAATTGTGTTTGGGTTAATTGTGCTGGGTTCATTGGGTTGGGTTAATTGGGTTGGGTTAATTGTGTTTGGGTTAATTTGGTTTGGGTTAATTGTGTTTGGTTAATTGTGTTTGGGTTAACTGTGCTGGGTTAATTGGGTTGGGTTAATTGGGTTGGGTTAATTGGGTTGGGTTAATTGGGTTGGGTTAATTGGGTTTGGGTTAATTTGGTTTGGGTTAATTGTGTTTGGTTAATTGTGTTTGGGTTAATTGTGTTTGGGTTAATTGTGCTGGGTTCATTGGGTTGGGTTAATTGGGTTGGGTCAATTGTATTTGGGTTAATTTGGTTTGGGTTAATTGTGTTTGGGTTAATTGTGCTGGTTTAATTGTGTTTGGTTAATTGTGTTTGGTCAATTGTATTGGGTTAATTATGTTTGGGTTAATTGTTTTGGGGTTAGTTGTGTTTGGGTTAATTGTGTTTGTGTTAATTGTGTTGGGTTAATTGTGTTTGGTCAATTGTATTGGGTTAATTGTGTTTGGTCAATTGTATTGGGTTAATTGTGTTTGGGTTAATTGTGCTGGGTTAATTTGGTTTGGGTTAATTGTGCTGGGTTAATTCTGTTTGGTTAATTGTGATTGGGTTAATTGTGTTTGGGTTAATTGTTTTGGGGTTAGTTGTGTTTGGGTTAATTGTGTTTGGATTAACTGTTGGTGGTTAATTGTGTTGGGGTTAATTTTGTTTCAGCTAATTGTGTTGGGGATTAATTGTGTTTGGGTTAATTATGGCAGGGTTAACTGTGTTTGGGTTAATTGTGTTGGGGGTTAATTGTATCACATTAACTGTGTTTGGGTTAATTGTGTTTGGTTAATCGTGTTGGGTTAATTGGGTTGGGTTGTGTTTGGGTTAATTGTGTTTGGGTTAATTGTGTTGGGGTTAATTGTGTTGGGGTTAATTGTGTTGGGGTTAATTGTGTTGGGGTTAATTGTGTTGGGGTTAATTGTGTTGGGGTTAATTGTGTTGGGGTTAATTGTGTTGGGGTTAATTGTGTTGGGGTTAATTGTGTTGGGGTTAATTGTGTTGGGGTTAATTGTGTTGGGGTTAATTGTGTTGGGGTTAATTGTGTTGGGGTTAATTGTGTTGGGGTTAATTGTGTTGGGGTTAATTGTGTTGGGGTTAATTGTGTTGGGGTTAATTGTGTTGGGGTTAATTGTGTTGGGGTTAATTGTGTTGGGGTTAATTGTGTTGGGGTTAATTGTGTTGGGGTTAATTGTGTTGGGGTTAATTGTGTTGGGGTTAATTGTGTTGGGGTTAATTGTGTTGGGGTTAATTGTGTTGGGGTTAATTGTGTTGGGGTTAATTGTGTTGGGGTTAATTGTGTTGGGGTTAATTGTGTTGGGGTTAATTGTGTTGGGGTTAATTGTGTTGGGGTTAATTGTGTTGGGGTTAATTGTGTTGGGGTTAATTGTGTTTGGGTTAATTGTGTTGGGCGTTAATTGTGTTGGGGTTAATTATGGCAGGGTTCACTGTGTTTGGGTTCACTGTGTCGGGTTAATTAGTGCTGGGTTAATTAGGACAGACGAGTTAATTATTCCCCCGTCAGTCGGGTCTGTCGGACGGCGATCCCTTCGACGGCGGTTGGTGCGCGGCGCGCGCGGACACGGAGCAGTGGCTGCAGGTGGACGCGGGCGGCCCCACGCGCTTCACCGGCATCGTCACCCAGGGGCTCAACTCCATCTGGACGTGAGGGGGACCTGGGGACACCTGGGGACACCTGGGGACAGCTGGGGACAGCTGGGGACACCTGGGGACAGCTGGGAACAGCTGGGGACAGCTGGGGACAGCTGGGGACAGCTGGGGACAGCTGGGGACAGCTGGGGACATCTGGGGACAGCTGGGGACATCTGGGGACAGCTGGGGACATCTGGGGACAGCTGGGGACATCTGGGGACATCTGGGGACATCTGGGGACATCTGGGGACCCCCCGAGCCCGCCCCGCTCTCTGTGCCCCGCAGCTACCAGGGGGTGACGTCCTACAAGGTGCAGGTCAGCAACGACTCACACACCTGGAGGCCGAGCCTCAACGGCAGCCAGGAGGCGGTGGGTGATCAACTGGGGGCGTTAATTAGCTTAATTAGGTTAATTGGGTACCGTGCCCATCCAGCCGGTACCGTGCCCATCCAGCCGGTACCGTGCCCATTCCTGCCGGTACCGTGCCCATCCAGCCGGTACCGTGCCCATCCAGTCGGTACCCTGCCCCG